AACAATATTAATACATGGATGCACAAAGTTACCTTTTGTCCCTTGAAACTTTGAGAAGTTTTCTTTGAGCTTTCCTCAACTCTTCTTGAAAGCATTCATTTTCCTTTAAAAAAATCGTGTAATTAAATTTTTGTAAGGGTCATAAAAATCAAGTATCACAAAATATATTAAAGATTCAACAAATGCAATAGCACAATTCTTGTATTTTTTAAAGCAAAACATGAAATACAACCTTGTAAATTTGAGCTAAGTATTTTTATAAGTTAGGTAGTGTGACAATAACTTTATGTACATAAAGTTTTGAAGAATACTTAGAATTCTGAAGAACAGTGAATGAAAAACACAACCTGGAGATGGGGGTGTAAGCCCCCACCCAATCAGACCAATGATCAGAGTTTTTGAAACTGTTCAATCCTCTGTTTATAGACAATTTATTATTTTCAAGTGGGGGCAGCATATGAATATTACAGACATTTGAAAACAATTAAGTTTATATTCATTAATTGAATACAAAAACAAGTATATATAATCATTATTAACTCTTCTGTTATTAAAACTAGATGGTATTAGTTTTATTAATTTGTTAAATATTTGGTTATGTGCCACAAGCATCCCTGAGCATATTCCTCCAAAATGTCTGTTATTGTTTTGAATCATCATAACATTACACTATTTTAAAAACTCACAGCCATAGCAAGTTGAACTAATTAGCAAGCTCGAGTCACATAGTAACATTATTTTGACTAACAGCAGTCTGAAGTTTACATTTGATTCAAGTGTCAACACTGTTGTATATATTGTGAAAAACATTCTTCTTAGGGATGATCTATTTGAATGATAAATTAAAAATGTGAAAATACAAACTTGAATATCAAAGGTAATGAGATCCAAATGTTGGAAACCCAGATGTAAACTTGTTCTTTCAAAAAGTAAATTTTTGGTCAATTATAAACTGTGGAATGATTTGTCTAATGATGTGGGATATTCTATTAGTTTGAAAACATTTGTTGAATAAGTACAGTACACGGATGTGATGGGTGACACTTAATTTGGTGCCTGTTATGAAAAGAGAGGGGGGTGATCTCAGTGGGGCAGAAAATCTTTTGTCATCTTGTCTTTTCTTATATTTATACATTTCATGAAATGTTTGCAATACACATCTAAATACAATTAAATTAGGTTCACCTTTTATATCTAACAATAAGTCTTGTAAGGTTAGTCTATGAACAGTTCAAGCTAATGAACTAGGTCCTTGTATTTTTGCCACACTTAATAAATGTATTGCTAGTTTTCTGGATAGTTTATTTAATATGAAAATACTTTAAATTTGATGCTGATAATATTCAACATCTCTACGTTTTCTTACTTACATCGAGCCATCCTAAGTAACTTCAATCACCATGATTTCCTAATTTTGAGTTCCACTAGAAACTCACAATGCAATACTACACATGTGTATTCTTTACTACTACAAAAATGTTTAACAAAAACTTTAATATTAAAATCTAACATAGCACATACCAAACTTCATTAACTTAGCTACTGTCTGTTATCCTCAAATTAAACTTGGATTGCATCTTAAGGTCAACATATGAAAAATACAAATATTTTGCTATTTTAAAACTTTGAAGGTGAAACTAAAAAATATCAACATGTTCAACTCTGTTAGCTTAAAGGTTACAGAATATATCCATATAACAATATTTTAGATTTTTTACATTGGAAAAGTGATACCACATGTTTGAAAAAAAATAAAGGTGGCAAAATCTTTATTGACATATTTCAATTGATCCAGCTTTAACAGGCTAAGACTTAAGGCAAATTTGTTTAAACTTAAATAAAGTATAACACTAAAAGCATATTCCACATGTAAAAAAAAGAAGTATAGTACTTTAAGTATTCTTTTTTTTATGTGATAACCTTTTTGGCTTTCATTCTTAATGAATGTATCTTTGGCAGCTAAGTCATTCCGTGTTCAATATCAGCAACCATCAAAATTCATGTATTCAAAAATTATCAATCATATTGAAAAATCACTATTATTTTCTTTACTCTTTTAAACTTTTTGTCATTCACAAATACTTACATAAATTAAGAATTTAAATTTCCTTTTCAGAGTTCTGTATTTCTGTCGATAATCAGCCACATCATTCTTTGATTCTTCTGGAAACAAATGATATCACATTGAAGGTTACTTATATAAAAGAAACTTTTCATCAGCTATACGAGTCATTTTAAACAATAAATCTAGAATACAACTTTTGCTGTTTTAAAGAACAAAACTTTTAGCCAGCTTCTTAAAACAAAATTTTACTCACTTATAAAATAATAAACTTTTTTAATGGAATGATTTTTTTCACAGCCACAGTACTTGTACATCTACACAAATAATGATAGTTCTGTACAACTAGAAAAGTCTATGACTATTAAAAACAATTTTACTTTCACATAAAATTATGCAAGTATTTGTGTCACCATACACAGATTTTGTAAAAAAAATAAAAAGTGAAGGTGTGTGAAAATATTTTTTAATTTCTGCTTTAAAGGGTAAGTTCAACAATTTTTATAGATTAAATTAAACATTAAACAAAATTATATAACAACAAATATAGAAATAATGGTTTCAACAAATAATAAATGTCTTACTATGTACAAGTACTTACTTAAACTATCATTCAAATAAAGAAATAGCATTTCTACACTTTTATATTTATTATATAAAATATAAAATAATTCCACATGGAGGCACTTTTTTCTAGAAAAGTTCACAAAAGTTATGAAAACTCATTTACACTCTGGTTCAAGCAGCACCATTAATCTTTTTGATTTCAAAATTATCAAAAACATTTTTGCTGCAGTCTATGATTTAATATGATTGACCTTCTTTAAGTCAATATAAAATATAAAAGAAGGTATACTGGTGATATTTTGGTGAGCTTCTTTTTATATTTCTTGGAAAATTTTACACTAGTCTTACTATTAACATTTGGACATTCATTTATACCTAACTCACTACCTTTTACAATAATCTAAAAATTATCAAAATTTATCACTCAGTAATTTTATGACTGTGCTTCCTCTTGCCATTAGTAAATTACACATATAAAAATGATAGTATTAAATGGATTACAAGCGAGGTGATTGAATGAAATACAGTAATAGTTATATAATGTTGCAGTAGAGTAATGTACGACAAGGTGAAATAAACACTAAATACTTTCTTAATTTGCCAAAGACTTAACAAAGTGTGCTATACATTCTATTGTGCCGTCAGGGAAATTGTTCAACACTAAATTTCAAGCAGTTTCTTAGACCATAAGATATTACAGTTAACACATTTGAATGCTAAGATGGGTTCAACTTACAAGTTCACTAATCCTGATGTAGCTTTAAAACTCAGTGCAACTAAAAGCGAAGTATTGAGCTAATATTAATAAAGATACATTCTGGATATAGGTCGTGATTTTATTTACGTTTAGAGAAATGTCTGGTATCCGTAATAAACTCCAGTTTGCATTTAAACATTTAAAGTTTAACAAAGTTAATAATAATTTTTATTTAATTTAGAAATTAGATTTTAGTACAAAATTATTAAATGTAATAGTACTATTACTAATTTAAACGTATAGGGCGTTAAACTAGTAGTTAAAACAAGTTGTTTCAAATTACCTGCAACAGGCATCATGAACACGCTCAGTCAAGTGTTAGAGTATTTTATTAAAACACTGGATAAATTCCAATGTATCGTTAGGCGGCCATATTACTTGTTTATTCAACTATTGCTATTGACAAGCTACCTTCCTGATTTTTCTTTTTGATTTATTATTGACACGTTTAATTGATGACACTTTTCATTATGAATACGTACACGCGAAAAACAAACAACTAAACAAAAAATTTGTTTTTTCTCTATTAAATTCCTTTTTAAAGAGAATTAGTGACGAAAGCTAAAAGCTGACAATTCAGTTTCAGCGCCATGTAGTATAGTCAGCTTTAAATAATACGAATATGACACATGAGAAATATTTAATTAATAAACTCGCACCTATATAGCCATCTAGTGGTTAATATTAACATTAACAAGTATTTAAAATTAAATAAATAATTAATTATTACACTCCCTGACACAAAATCTAAAATAAGTAACATCAGTAAAATTAACTTATAATTCATATTATAAATTTAATACTTTGGGTATTCTAGTATTACAACGTGGTCTAGATGAAACGAACTGATGTTCTTTCAGATCTCGACTCGGCTGCAAACTGGTAGTTGTCTGACTTTCATCAGACTGGTCTGGAGGTTTGTTTGTCTGTTTGCAATTAAGCACAAAGCTACACAACGGGCTGTCTGTGCTCTGCTCTACACAGCTATGAAAACCTGGTTTTCAGCGTTGTAAGTCCGCAGGTATACCGCTGTGCCACTGGGGGATCAGGTCTGAGTGTGTGACATCATTAGTAGTTTCTTCAATCCTCTCATGAGTATGAGTCGTTTAATCAACTAAAAAATCCAATTGATTAGCAGCAACATGGGGAAAACTTGTAAAATATCAGAGGAAGGGAAGCTTTAGTTTTTACTCCATACCCTCTTCAAAACTATCATCATCATAAGACTGAGGAGGTCTACCATCTGGTCCCGCATGCCACAACTGATCATTATGCCTACGAAGTTCCTTCTTATCATCACTAATGACAACAACAAACACAATAATTCCTCTTGTCTATTTCATTACTGGCATAAAATCATGCACCCACACAACATCTCCAGTAACAAAAATTCTTTCTCTTTCACGATGGTTGACTTGCTGACTATGTTGGTTATCTCTAACATGCTCCTCTAAAGAAAGATTCATTATTTCCATTGCAACAATTCTGCTAGACTGACTACCATAGTGCTATGAGAAACTAATCTGAAAGAACCTAGGAAACAATTTATTGCCTCATCAATACTATCTCTTCAGCTCAGTTGGTAGAGCACTTGTCTATCACTCGACAGGTCTGGAGTTTAAATTCCGAAAAAAATATGTAACGTGGAAAATAAATAAATAAAGAGGAAAATACTACACTTGCATTCCCCAGTGGACAGCGGCTAAAACTATGAAAACCCGTAGTACGATTCCTTCGTGGTGGATATAGCAGATAGCCCATTGTGGCTTTACTTCAAAACAAAAAGCTTGCATAAAATTACATAATATCAACACAAACTGGAGGTCTGTGGATTTAATATGCAAAAAGACAGGTTTATCAATTTTTACAGGTGAAATAAAAGAGAAGACACAGTGTTGAAATCAAATCCAAATATACACTTTATCTTCTGAAGATGTAAGAAATTTGAAGTATAAAAATATCACCAAATGAAAGTACTATTGCAGAACACCGAAATTACAGTTTAATTGGCTAATAAGCTATTTTTAAGTGAATAAAATAATTAAAGAGGGCCAACATTTGTGGATGAATGCAACATGTCTCCGCCACGCAATCCCAATATGACTAATTGTGACACCAGAAAAATCGAAAATTGTTTATATCACTGTTTGAGATCAGCAAGAAGGTATCTTTATACCAAATCCCAAGTAAGTTGGTTGACATACACATGAATAGTTCACGTAAGCCCCAATATGTCCTTTTCTCGCTGAAAAGTTTTAAAATATACAAAAATTCCAAATTTGTCAATAACTTTGTTTGGGACGCGTAAAAAAAAGTATTTTTGTACCAAATCCCATTTAAATTGGTTATAATTCAGCTGGAGTAATTTTCAAAAACCCTAGAATTATACTTTTTGTGGTATCTTGCCCCCCCCCCCATACCTATAATTACTAAAAATGGGTGAGTTCCCCATTTTTGCTTACCAATCTGTAGGATCCGTAGAAAAGTATCTTTGTACCGAATCCTATGTAAATTGGTCAAAATATGTCAGAGCAATTATGCATTTTTGTGAGGTCTGCCCCCCCCCCATCCAAACATACTATAAATGGGCAAATCTAACTTTTTTAGGTTGTTTGATATTTTATTCCACAATATCCTTAAAAAGATCTAAATAAAAATATAAGAAAAGTTTCTGAGCGTATTGGACAAAGTTATAACCATACCAAGTTTCAAGTTAATCCGCCAAGAAATGAAGGAATGGCGGTCGATTGAAATGTGTTCGAAAGAAGAAGAAGAAACAATAGGAAAACAGTATGTGTCTCTCTGTGGAGACATAATGAAAGAAAAAAGTTAAACGCACATGATCAGAGTCTAAAGAAGGTAGTGGACGAACACAAGATAACAAGTCTTAACTCTTTCAGCAACAGAAATCAATCTTTCTTAATAGTAGCAAAATTGCATTTAGAATACACGTTCCTTCTGAAGCTGACAAATTAGAAAATATGACACCGGGATGGGGAAGTATCTCTGCTTTGTGTGACAGTCACAAGGTGTCCCTCACACGCAAGGTCAAGAAGGACACAATACAATTACCACACAAAAATGAAGATAAGTTTTTTGACCGGTTAAGCTATTAAAGCAAGTATTTCAGTATAGATTTTGTGCACACCATCTCAACCGGATTTAGTAAGTTTGAAACTTAGAAAGTAACAAACTTTAAGAATTTCGCTGATAATATATAGGAGAGTAAGATATATACCGTTGTTTCATTTGCTTTGGTTGTTCATAGGTGACGATGATAAAGAGTTGATAAAGTACTTATAGAAGTTATTATAATTGCAATTATTACAATGAAACGTAATTCGTCGGGTATAATTTCTTTTATTATAAAATATTATGAGCTTTTTTGTGTCCAGTTTCAAATCATCATTCTAATAATTTTAGAATTCTTTAAATAACTATGGACGATTGCAAAAATGAGAGTTTCATTTTTAGTGTCGTCTGTTTTTATAATTTTTTTCAATATGGCTAGGATTTTAAGGAATGCATAATAGTCAGATTTATGTAGAGTAATTAAAAATATTTGTATGCCTTTTCTAGCTTTTCTCGTGACCTGTAGTACTTTTAAAAAATTGTTTACAAAATAATTATTTCTTCAGATAATTAACATTTTAAAGTGAAAGAAACCACCAGGTTTATTATCATTGGTGTATTATTATCGTATCTACAATAATAAAAGAGCGTGTCTGTGGGTCTATGTGTGTGTGTGTGACCGCTATAACTCCAAGAGGAAAGAACCTAGAAACCTGAAACTTCCATACTAATTGGATGGTGAGGGTGTGCAGCTGGGTATTATCATTATCATTATTCGTGCGCGAGCGCATCTTTTTGTGAGGTAAGCAAGCGAAAAAACACATAGTAAAGAAAATATGACCGCCATAGCTCCAAGAACAAAGAACCTAAAAACCTAAAATTTTGCACCCATATTAAGTAGACCCTGAGGATGTGCACCTGTGTATTATTACTTATACACTTGAGTGTGCGCGTGCGTATCTTTTTATGCGAAAACCCACACAGAAAAGAAATGTAACTCCCCTAGCTCCTAGAAGGACGAATCTAGGAACCTGAAATTTTGCACCCGTACTAAGTGGACCATGAGGGTGTGCACCTGGGTATTATTACTTATCTACATGCATGCGCGTACGCGCGTGCGTATCTTTTTAGGCGAAAAACCACATATTCAAGAGGAAAAACCTAGAAACCTGAAATTTTGCACCCATACTAAATGGACCCTGATGGTGTGCACCTGGGTATTACTTAACTTATCCACGTGCGTTCGCATCTTTTTAATGAGGCAACCTAGCGAAAAACCACATAGAAAAGAAGTGGTTCCTTATATAACAATTTCTAATATATAGAAAAGCCAGTGCGTTTTGGTAACAATGGATTCAGAATATACACACTATCAACCTAATAACCCGAGTGAAGCCGGGTACTTTAGCTAGTTTTATATATTACAACATTTCTAGTAAAATGAGCTTTGTTTACTAGTCAACTAACGCTGCTTAGAGGCTTAACTGAGCCTCCCAGTGGTATATTGATAAGTCTCTGGGCATATAACACTAAAAGTCTGATTTCGACAAACGTGGTGGGCACAGCACAAATAACCCATTCGCATCAAATAAATAAGTACTTAAGTGGTTTCTTTAAATGTTAGCCTGCACAACTGTCCGACTGATAACGCAGTAATATTACGTCTATCGTGTAATACGGTAATAATAACACTTTAGTGATTACCATAACAATGGTTCATTTTTTAAGTTCTTTTCTTCACCAAAACGTGAATTCCAGCGAAAAAAAAAAAGATGAAGCAGAAGCCTAATCTATTTCTTGACTCACTACACCTGCTGCAGCAGACTAGTTTCGCCGGATTCACGGCTCTTCGGTACCTAAGGTATTTTAGGTTATCATTGGTGAGTAAAGGATTTTACATCTAAACCAAACAAACCGCACGTTCCACTATTACACGAAGTCTACTGTATACTCATGAGCCGTGAATTCGACAAAACTAGTTTGTTGCAGCGGGAATAGCAAATTAACTTCTAATAAAAAAAATTAACAATTAAATAAATAGCTAGTTAGTCTGCTGAATAATTATGGACATTTAATTGTGACAGCATCTTTGATTGTTTGTTGTTAAGCGCATATCTGTATAATGGTCTCTCTGTGCTATGACCATCACGAGTATCGAAACCCGGTTTTTAGCTTTATAAACCGTCAGATTTTCCGCTGAGCCACTGGGGGAGGGCGTGTGTGACGACCATGTCATATGTTATCCAAAAACCTAAGGTATTTTAGGTTATTAGTGGTGATTAAAGGTTTTAGTTTGGTTTGAATTTCGAGCAAAGCTACACGAGGGCTATGTGCACTAGCCATCCCTAATTTAGCAGTGAAAGACTTGAAGGAAGGCAGCTAGTCATCACCACCCACCGCCAACTTTTGGGCTACTCTTTTACTAACGAATAGTGGGATTTACCGTCACATTTTAACGCCCCTACGGCTGAAAGGGCGAGCATGTTTGGTGGAACGGGAATTATGACCCGTGACCCTCAGATTGCGAGACAAGCACCC